AAAGATGGATAAGAAGGGGCGGAGGGAGTCTGCTCAGTATCTGAGTTTGTGGGTTGCGCTGGTATCGCCAGGTTGGCTGTGGAACAAGGCTCTGCAGCGAACAGACGGTGTAGGAGGTGGCAAGCGAAACGTACGATTGGCTCGTGTTGAGGGTCCACCGGAGCTGAACCCTGATCGATACCCGGGACAAGAGCCTGGCAAACAAATTGCATGAAAAAAGCCGAAGTAGGCAGACATTGCTTGGCAAGAAGGGTGCCGATAAGTGAGGCCAAGTTGTCCCAAATGTTGGAATTTTCCAGGCACACAGGCATGTCAACGGTCGTACTGCCGGGATCCGTGTACGCACGAGAAGCAACGATAGTGCACAGGGCTTCAAACCAGGTCTTTTGAAATTCGATGCACTGCGCCATAAGTTCCGCAAAAAGGTCAAAAAGATAGGTAAGATGTTCGTGGGTTCGTGAGTCACTGACTGCAGCAAGTGCCTTGTAGACGAAGTTAACTCGAGCCTGAGGGTTCGTCCGAACATCCTCAATACAGGCGCGGAAGGCGGCTCGACTCTCTCCTGTGTTAGTGAGCAACTCCTCTATATAATTCCGAGACACTGCGAATGCACTTTCAAAGTGTTCAGGGGGACGTAAGAAGCCGTTGTTGCGATTATTCTCCCGTTCCACAATACGGCTCGCCTTGAGGAGGTCAGTTAGATATGCGACAATACAAAGTTTGCAGTGAGCTTTTTCCTTCCCCTGGCGTGCCTGAAACATTAAACACGAGAACACACGGAGTTGCAAATCACTCATAGTCATCAAAACTGGCTGATGGGTTCGCAAAATGCCGATAATTCGAAGACATACGATGGACATGTAAGAGCTCATGAACTGCGATCGAGGACTTGCGACTTGAAGACGCTCCAATGTTTGCACAACAGTGTCTAGAAGACAAGTAAGGTTTAGAGAGGCCTCAATCATATCAAAGAATAAGAAAATTGTATGAGGAACAGGTAGGTAGACGGGCTCATGCGAAGAGGACGAGGGTAGAGGGAGATTTTCATGGCCAGAATTTGGAGCCATTTGAACTGGAGAGGAAGTCAGAGGCAGAGTATGCTGGTCAGGAAGGCCATAGATTTTCCCTGTATCATTACTGACAGAAGCACCCGATCCAGCACTGCCAGAGAGCGACTGCAAGAAGATGGGCGTAGTCTGTGAGATTACACACTCCATGTCGTAATAAGACAGGCATCGATACCGTTGCATAAGCTCATCGTGAATTTCCTCTAGCGGCCTTGTATCTTTAGAAGTGCGCTGACTGATGGTGGGATTCGTCCCGCCGGAAGCCGCTGATTCCTTGTCGCGATCCTTGTTCTTTTTTCTTTTACCCATTTCCCCATGCACAACATCAAGTCGGTATGCGTTCTTTGTGAACACCTTGGTAAGGTCACGCACAAGTTTACGAATTCTATCCTTAGCCCTGCATCGGGCACGCATGGTCCCGTAAAGAAGCTGAGCTCGTTGATTGTGTTCATGTGAGTATGATGGATCTTGTGGAATGGGAAAATGGATTAAGAACTGCAAATGGTGGTTAAGATTGGTATGTTCATTCGTCAAGTTCGAAGGATTATGGCGAGTGTTCACGGGGACAGAAGACAGGACACCAAAATCAGAGCGGACGGAATCTGGATTTTCAACACTGTTGCGATCATTGTCTTCGGAAACCTCGGACTGTATTGAAAAATTTCCACTTAAGTTTGTCGCTGGAAGGATAGAACATCCCATGGTAGAGGCACGGTTTGTACAGCTTCCTGGCAAATTATAGGTTCCCAGGGGGCCTACCAGACCCGAAGAGCTAGGCAGATTGCAGCCAAGAGATTCCTGGGAATATGGATGGAAGCTATTGTCAAAAATCCCTCTGGCAATAAAAGTTCGAACGTAGGCGTCGTGATCAAAAATGCCTCGATCAATGAGCTCCCCGAAAAGGCAAACCAGGGAGCGAAAACAACTGGATTCGCCAGCAGCGGGACTGGGAGCATGCTGATCCAAAAAATTAATAAGACACTCTTGAAAAAAAAATGGAGTAGCAGACTGATAAGTAGATGTGAAGTGTTCCAGAAGCCAGGCAACGACAACGGCTCGGTGAAGCCCCGTACGCGTAGGTGAGACAGCCCACTGACAGAGGAATGTCACCAGAGAATAAACGCACCGAGGGTCATCCGGCTTATAAACCGAAAATAACTCCTCGAAGAGAGTTTCGAGTGGACATAACTCTTTCGAAATACTGAAGTCTTGACGATCAAGAATGTCGAGCACACGAAAAAGTGAACCGATCTAAAACAAATAGATAAGATATTAAAAATTTGGAGATCAAATTCTAAAACG